TTTAACATTATTAAGAATCCTAGCGAGAACCCGTGTATATTGCACGCCAGTATTTTTTTTCTTTAACGTACGACCTCAAAACTTTAACCTGTCACTCGGTAACACACACTGAGACATTCGATATTATGTACATAGAAGCTCTATGGCCTGATATTCTTATATCAGTAATACCCAATATAGCCTTGCGGTCTTATAGCCTTATATTTCACACAGCTCTTCTAGCGTTACGCGCTTCTAGCCTTACCACTTGTAGCCCAACCGCCTTAGAGCGTTCATCACTTATAGCGTTTCTCCCTTATAGCCATATCCTCTTATTGCTTTTCACCGTTAAAATCTTACCTCGTTAGAGCCTTACGGTCTATAACTTTACCCTCTGATAGTGTTCACTCCTTATAGCCTATTCCACCTTACAGCCTTATATAGTATACATTTTTTCAAATCTTTGTATCTTAGAACGACTTTGTCCAAAACTTCTGAAACTTTTTATGCAGGCTAGCCTAGCTGAGGTCTTTATGTGGGCAAAGTTTCAGGTCAAAATTCAAACACATGGCTTTGTTCCAAAAGTGGGATGCTAAAGGAAAAAATCACTAGAAACTCGGTATCTCCCCAGAAACAAGACGGAAACCCGAAATTTTGTTACCATAGACACAGCTCACTATGGGCTATTAGATGCGTAAGGTCCCGACTCAAAAGCTCTCGGACACCTGGGAATGTTCCCTTGTTAGCATAACAATCTTTGATGAATAACATGCATTTTGTGTTTATTCGAAGATGGTTTGTTCATGTTGGGCAAACTATTTCTTTTTTGTTGATTATAGTTTACAATCACTTGATAAGGAGATAAATGATCATTGGAACTGTCAATGAAAATACATATAGTATTAATCAAAAGCATGATCGTAATACCTTGTCAGATAAGAGAAGAAAAAGAAGAAAAATATATGATAATGCAGCACGTGTTTTTTCCATGGGTATGGAGTATTGATGATATTAAATGATAAAAGGATATTCAGTGATTTCTAATATTCGCCTTCACTAGATTATATTCTGAACGCCATTCCTTTTCGCTCTATGAAAAGAAACGCCGTGAACCAGTTTACGAAGATAGATAAGGTTCAGGTATGTTCCACTTTGAATACGTAGCTATCAAGGTTAAAAAATACAATATTTGAAAAATATGATGCTTTTATGAGTAACAAACGTTGCAGAAGGAAACACGATCGGCAGCATCTCCATCGTAGTTTCTGGAATTTCGATGTAATAAGGCATATTATAAAAATCGCGAAAAAATCAATTTTTAATTAATTATAATCGAAAAATAATCAAAAGAATCGAAATTTCGGCAGCTAATCTGGTTATTTTTTATTAAAACCGCTTCAAAATTGTGCAAAAATTACTTTTAAATCAATTTCATGTAATTAAAAGCGGTAGGATTTAATCTAGTCTTGTATGTTTTACATCAATTATAATCAACTTCCTCATCAATTTTAAATAGATTCTAACAAAACCTAAGCCGAATTATCAATAAAGTTTCGATATTTTTTATTAACGTTTGATTATAATCGATTAGAGATATATGATTTTAATCAGTTCAGAATCGATTTTTCGTATCATTTTTCTTCACATGGATTCTCACTGAACACTTTCCAACGTTTGTGCATGACAGCCAGTGTAAATTTGTCCAAAATTCCGTAATCAATTCAAAGTATAGTTGCTTCCTTGTCGTGACCTATTCTTAATCAAAGCTTCATACAAAATTACACGGCTACAAAACATAGACACAATCTATGTGCATTAACAAAAACATGAAAAAATTGTTGACCAATAGAACATATAGCTCTTTCTGTGACTAAATTAAAAGCTTTTAGTTTCAATTATGTTTTCTCTCTTTTTCATTATTAAATCATGACATAATGTTTTTCCAGAGTTATAATGAATTTTCGATCATTTGTGATCATCTTCAGAATTTTATTGTAAATCATATAGATGTAAACAAACCATAAGTATCATCATAATCATTGATGTTTATGCATATTTAACCATAACCATGACCACCAAGCATAGTAAGTTCTTGATGAGGATGTGGGTGTGATCAAACATATATTAATATCAACAATTATGATGATATTTATGATTTATACACATCTATACGATTTATTATAAAATGCTGAAGATGATTGTAAATGATCGAAAATTCAATATGACTCTCGAGAAAAATTATACCATCATTTAATAAAGAAAAAAGAGAAAATAAATTGAAATCAAATGTTTTTGATTTAGTAACAATAAAATATATATGCTCTGTTGCTAAACAATTACTTCATAATTTTGACAATTAAACGTGCATGTTGTACAATTTCGTTTGTATTAATTATCAGCAACACAAAAAAAGGTTATATTCTTTTTCTCTATAAAGAAAAACAACTTATTGCGTAATCTCAACAATAACAATTTATAACTTATTAGTCTTGATGGTCGTGTTCATGGTTGTCGTCAAAAACATACTAACATTAACAATTATAATGCTACTTATGATTTATTTACATCTATATGATTTACAGTAAAATTTTGAAGATGATCACAAATAATCAAAAATTCAATATAACTCCGAAAAAATATTATATTATCATTCAATAAAGAAGAAAAGAGAAAACATAATAGGTATCAAAAGTTTTTGAATTAGTAGCAACAAAAGATACATATTCTGTTACTAAACAATTATTTCATAACTTTGATAATTAAAAATCGATCTTATATAATTTTGTATGCATGCTCATTAGCGTTGACCTTGATTACCAATACAATGCAAATAACAGATGGAATGAAGGACGATGGGGTCTACCGTGGACAAAAATAGATTCCTTTTTCAACGTTTTATTTTTCTCTTTCTCTCTTGTATTATTATTTATACATTTCTATGTCATTGTATAGGTAAGGATGTAAGTTGTATTCCTATGCATATATTATACTTTATTTACGTGTTATTTTGTTTTATTTTGTATTCATTTCAAAATGCGTAATTTTTAGTGATCTTGAGGGAACAGAAACAATAATGCAAAAAAGCAAAATATGCTATATAATCATTTTCAGTTGTACAGTGTTGATATGCTTCAACGTGTTTTTTTTTTGAAAGTCGATCGTTTTCTCTGGTCGATAAGCTTTAAAAATGGTCGCCCACTGTATTACCGATAGACGATGATGATGCAGCTCTGAATCATGGCAGTAATCTCACTTAAAGTTTTTCTTATTCGACAATTGGAATTCTCCATCACACAATACTATCTCCATTTATATGATACACAAAAATACCGTGTGTGATGAGTATATGTCTGATATTATATGTATGGATAGCATGAACAGTCGAGCAAGAACTTTTAGTGATGTCGCCATTCTGGCTCACAGCTGAAAGCTTATCGAGCATAGAAAACAATCAACTTTCAAAAAAACATTCGTTTAGGCATATTTACAATCTAAAACTGAAAATGGTTATAAAGCATATTTTGCTGTTTGCATTATTGTTTCTGTTCTCTCAATATCACTGAAATGAGTTGTTTTGAAATAAATACAAAATATAGGAAAATAACACGTAAATACAGTATAATATATGTATAAAAATACAACTAACTTCATTTACGTATACAAGGACATAGAAATATATAAATAATAATATACGAAAGAAAGAGAAAAAATCAATCTAAAAAGAAATATATTTTTGTCCTTGAATAGTATAGGTTATGCATAGTGTGTGAAGGATGTTGATGTGAACTAATTCGTCAATTGTATCGTTCTTGCTATCTGATGTGTTCATGCTGACAATAAGCTAGATGAAATGATTAAAAAGACATGGAAGAAGATGCCTAAGTTCTAAAATCTTATACTTACATAAAACAGCATGCTATATTGACTTTTTGATAATATGATATTTATTGATTTATAGATATATATGTATGTTTATATGTCTAATATCTTGAATAAAATATTCTAATCAATTCATTTTCACTATTGATTTATGGTAAAAATACAAACTTGGATTGCATCCGCAATAACTATTGAGAAAATATCATTATAACACAAATAGTACAAAAGTAAATAGTTGTCATGCCGTTGCTTACAGTTTGGCCTTCGTTTTCTTATTATGCATTTCCTTGATATTATTAGCATTGTGGATATTTTCAATACATCTAAAGATAAAAGTAAAGTATGACATACATAAACAGCTAATTTAAAGGAGCTCAAATAGTATATTCCTTTAGAATCAAGTCTTGAAATATTCATACTTCCAAAAAGATAGGAAACGACTATGCTTGATACAATATCTAGATTTAACTATTCATTTGTCAATAATGTTTTAGTTTATTGGTATTCAAATGGTTAAATAATTTGTCTCGGTTTTGAGTCTTTATTTAAGACGCAACATCTACACAACATTGTGCATTTTTTTTGCATCTGTATTGATAATGTTAGTATTTATAAATGGGAATTTCAAGCTTCCATAGTACAGTTTCTATGTGAATATGAATTAACTAATATAAGCTTTTGTTTTAGCAATCTGACCGATAACTATATAGGTATAGCTGGTTCATATTTATGAAGAGATTTGCTGTTGATTAATTATCTAATCATAGTGATAAATATACATGATGTGAATTTCCTAATACTGATGCAATTTTTTGGAATATTTGGTATTATTCATCACTGATTCAAGCTAAACGCAATATAAATCTTATTTAAATATCGGTGAAAGACTATCTGTGCATTCATCCGTTAATAGTACTTTTTGATTAATTTCTGGAAAGATCATCACGCCGTCTCAATAAAAAAGTATGAATACTTTTCAAAATCATGAGAACAACATTCAAAACCACCAATAACCAGGGATCCCTGAGTAACTCGTTGTGTTCAAATGTGCATGGCGAGCAGTCTTTTAAAACCATCGACTTATAATATAGATACTGAAGTGAAATACCTTAGATAATAATGAGACATACTATTGCTAATAGATGTTACTCTATGAGGGCTACTTCTCCATACTTTCGTTATTATTGAATTTTCTCGCGCCTATTGCTGTTCTCTTTTTTCGCTTTCTCCTTTATGCTGTTGTTGTTATTGCTGTTGTTATTATTATTGCTGTTATTGTTGTTGTTGTTGTTGTTGTTATTGCTGTTATTGTTATTGCTGTTATTGCTGTGGCTGTTATTGTTATTGCTGAGACTGTTATTGTTATTGCTGTTATTGTTGTTATTATTAATGACTTTATTCTTCTGAACTATTTCTCATCTTTTATCATCATATAAATATTGTTGGTTCTGAATTACGATTATTTTGTTCTCTTCTAAAATAAAATATCGCTAAGATTAAATTAGTACAGCTTACTCCACGATCGTAAAGACCAGTCACGATAGGTCGTCTTTTGCATGAACTCTGGTTTTGTGCAGTAGACAATGCCCCTGAAGTTTATATAATTTTGCCTGACTGATACACAGCGATAATAGGGATTGATATTCTTTCCCCACAACGAAAAGCTCACATTCATATTCAAAGCGCTAAAGTGCAACTACAAAAGTGCGATTACAAATTTCCTATATAATAAAATACCTGGTTTTAATTCTTTAATCACCAATCTGATCACCGAACTGCATCAAAAGCTATTCAACAAATTATTATGGCAACAATATACATTTAGCACTAAAACAATCGACAAAAATAACGAAAGTGAAAGCGATTGAATAGTCAAAGGATTTGAATTATTTATCAGCATAGTAACCGATTATATTAGATGTTATTTCGATAATAGTAGTGAGTTATTTGAAACGCTATTATTATTTCATAATCAATTCTTTCGTTTTCATAGCAGTAAAACGTAGGTAGTCTTGTTTATATGTGAAAATGCTGTTTGAAGGTGGATTTTATCGAAATTATGTTTGTGAGCAAGAAACAATGGTCGGTAAGTCACGATATTTTGCTCGCTCTCTATAATGTTTGCAAAAAAATGAATGCGTGGGGGTAGCGCGTAACCTGGCGAACATTCAATTGACTCTTCATCGCCGTTGATTAATCTGTGTGAACGACAAGGGACAGAGCGAACAAAGCGACAGTAATATTTGTATGAAATAAATGCAGTATAGGATTAGTATTCTATCCTTGACAAATTTGTATGTAGGTGTTTATGTAAAAAGGAGAAAATTATTGTTCGACAATATATAGACAACATATTGCTTTATTCATACTCATTCAACAACATTGATATATTACATTGTTAAACAGGTGTTGGACACACAAGGCTTTACAGAAATTCAACAAGTAAGTGTATGTCTTTCGAAAGTGGACTCTAGGAGTGTTGGCTTAGCATTAGTATTAGAATTAGAAAAAAAATAATGCTTCTTCCATTAGTGTTAAAATTAATAAATTAATGCTCTGGTGTTAGCATTGAATTAAAATTACCATCTGATTTTCATTACCCAAGCAGTCAGAAAAGTGAAATTGACGCGTTATAACAACCATTTTGCGTTGTTTCTTGAACGCATTTTACATAGTCAAAAATGTCCGAATTTTGGCGTTTTAACAGTCGCAATATTTTAAGCTTTTGGGGTAGGTAGAACGAAAAAGAGAAGAACGTTTAAACACATTACTCAAATAAACGCATAAAAACGCAAAAATTCGGACATTTTTGATGGCATTCAACGCGCTTGAAAAGAACATTTTAACGCTTTAAAAATGAAACCGTTGAATCGTATTTTCGAGATTAACGGGTTAAAACTCATAATTTCGGACATTTTTGAGTATGTAGAATCCGTTTCAAATTCATATTATAATGAATTCCACATACTACCGATTAGAAACGTCACGAGAGTCAATGGAGTAAAAACCGTTAATGCACACAGCTGCAGCTGCGCACAATAGATATCAAAAACAAGGGAGGTAAGCGAAATCCAGCGGTTCAGCATGCCCTAAGAATATGTCGAAGCTATAATCAAGAACTTCCTGCCTATTTTAAGTCTGTTATCAACCTGCCTTACGAATATGCTAGTTTGAGTTCATTTTACATAACTTTAGATGAAAATAAATCTCGATTACTTCATTGCACTTCGCTGTTGTCAGCTCTTGAAGCACAATGAAGTATTAGAGATTTATTGTAGACAAATTTACGTACAATAAACAAAAAGTAACATCCTCGTCAGCAACGTTCATAACTTACTTAAAATATTTAAGAAAAACTTCTCGAAGATAGCTTTGACGTATCTTAGCAGTATACTGAAAAATGGAACCTTCCCTTTATATCCCTTAGTGAATGAATGTCATAGTGGAATGTACATATAATAAGGCTATTCTTCTATACTATTGAATTTTATACAAAGAGAAAATGATGAGATCGTGTATCTTGGAGAAAAAATTTGAAATTTGTTGAGAGAAACTACTATTCTCATCAGCTATTAAACACTTTCTATTTTTAGTTCATGCATAACTAATTAGATCAATAGAAAAAAAAAATAAGAAACTTGATTCTGTTCATTCACACAAAAAACTTCGAACTAAATTCATGCAAAACCATTTTATCAGCATACAGCGACGAAATTTATTCTATTTATTTCTACATAAGTGCTTATTTCACTGAGCTCAAAAAAATTCTTTGTTAGCGAACAAGAACAGTAGTGTCTCGACTAATCTCTGTTTGTGATAGAGCTTCCATGATATAAGTATGATGCAAGTATTGCAATATGAGTTTGTTAAGACAAACAGTGAGAGAATGAAACTGGGACAAAGAACAATGTGAACACCAATCGAAAGAAAAGTATAGGAATAGATGTGTACAGGATGACTGTTGACTGACGACCTCTATTATAATATTTTGTACTTAAAAGCTGTTAAAGGAAGATGCCAAATTTCAATACCTGTTGCATTTAGGTTTGATTAATTTAGAAAATAATTGTTGTCTGAAGTTTCTATTAATGTATTTCTAACGAAATCCAATCAAAATGACTTGTGTAGTGGTTGGGCATAAAATAATAATACTATTGATTCGAAGAAATGACCTCAAACTGATAGAATAAAGTACAATCTATTATTTCTTATTTGCGAAATTCGTCAGCTATGTCACGAACATTCTTCTTTTGTTAAATAACTAACTATTTACTTCGTCCGACCGTCTGGTTCAATAAAACTGGATACATCTATCTCTTTCTGGTCGATTCCTTTACCTGGATGGCTTTGTTTAAGTCTTTCGTATTGTTCTCGTCTCTTTCTAGAGATGACGGTATAAATAGACCCACCGAAACGATTATATGTATTAGTATCGTTATATACGTCGAAAACAATCCACGTACGTATCTCTATTTTAACCATCATTCTCTTTGTTTACGTATCTACCATATCTATAACTTTGCTATGTATATTGCGTTTTTCTTTCTAGGGGCGTATTTTTCAATCTTATACAATACCAGGTTATGATGAAATCAATCAAAAAACGGAATACTCGATCAAGTACGGCTATGAATTCCGAAATATCATCAAACGTCTCTATTGCAACGTCTTCAACACATGAAAATATTGGTCAAAGTATGTATGCGTTTATAGAAATCAGCTTCAATACGATAATCTTTAGATGAACAAGTTTCTGTTAAACGAGCTCGTACTCAACGACAAATTGTTAACAAGAAACAATCAGTTAATGAACCAGATAGTGTTTTGTCATCCGACGAATTTATTACAAATCAATCAGGTTAATTCGGTCTTTTGTTTATTTTAAAGTTTGATGTTTTTATTTTGAGTAGGTGAACCTACATTTGCTACATTGGAACCTGTTCGTTTTGATTTGCATGATAACATTCATGATCCACCTAGTTCACCATCGCCGCTTGTGATTGATACAACAGAAGATATTGTTTGTTCACAATTTAATGTTTCAAATTGTTTTCAAAATCAATCAAATGAAAATTATAATCCACCTCGTACACCATTGGGATACACCAGAACAAACAATAATTCAAAGTATATGATGCATTCCTTTTCTCATAAAGATTCATCTCTTAATATCAATCAAAAAGAAAGACCGATAAATAGCAATACAGCAAGTACAAATGTCACCATCAGGTTACAAACAATTTTGCATGAAATTTCAAAATATACGTGTTTTTTTAGAACACCTACTGTTGATAAAAATACATCTAACAGTTTTTCACAAATATCAAATCGATCTATTGTTGTCTCAGCGGACCAGTTTCGAAGAAATTCAAATGAAGAAAATATTTACAATCAACGAACTTCTACTTCATGGCCGCCTCATCATGAACCAATCAGTAATGCTAATCAAGGAATATACGATGATTCATTTTCAATTGACTCCATTCCACCTGAAACAAAGAATGTTTTATCCCGGTTTCCAGAGTTTCGTCATTTGGTAAAAGCATATAAACATGAACAACAAAAATGTAAAACATGGATAAGTGATTATGCTCGTCTGAAAAGAAATTACGATCGATTAGAACAAAATTCGTTTCGTAAGTTATTCGTACTCTTTGTTTGACTGTCGTCCTTTTTATGTATTGACAGCTCGACCATCGGCACCTGCTCTCCATTATTTAATTGATTTAGTCACGCACATTCAACAATCTAATGGTACTGGTGATTCACGCAGTAATGAACAATTAGCAAAAGATTTGGGTGTTAGTCTGGTGATTTTAATGAATTTAAAAGACATAACTCCTCAACAAACGGCACTAAATTTATTTAACTATTTTTATCCAGGTTATGCTGCAAAAAAGGACTTAGATTCAATTAATAACCTGGAACTATTGAAACCTGGTCTACTGGAGACGATGCTCGGTAAACACATTTTTTTCCAATTTCAAATATATATCTGTTACATTTAGTTTTTGCTCAACGTGCCGCACCTGGTGTTGGATACCGGATACAAGATATACGAGAAACTTTGGGCAATAGCATCAGAGGAGCTCGATTTCATTTTCGAAAAAAGATTAATACTATTAATGATGCTGCTGTGTTTCTGGACAATGACAACGTTGATAGAGATGATTCTCGAAGAGGGAAGAATCAAAATACAAGTTATGATAATGCAACTGATGTTACTGGTATTCATATGAAGGAAAAATATGGAGGAAGTACATTTGATGATAACGAAAGCTTGTAATTTGTTGAAAGAAACAAGGTAAGGTGGACATGTGTGGTTAATATAATTATGTACATAGAAACTGTAAATATATGATTAGTTTTCTGTACTCTCGTTTATTTTATTCCATTTTTTTTGCACTTCGTACTTTTTGCTATATTTTTGAACATGTATTACTTCATGTTTTTTTGTCTTTTTTCTAATTGCGATCTTGTTTTATGACTTAAGTGTAGTTTCACATGAAATGCGAAATCACACGATTATATTATTATTTTTTTATAACTTTATGAAAGTAGAAAGGAAGGTTTTTATTTTAAAGAGAAACTATCTTGTAGCATATTATATTTTTTATATCACTTGTTTTCTTTAAAGTCTTGTTTATTGTATGCATATTTGTTTATGTGGTTATTCCAGAAGTTTATAAAATAAAGTGCAGAGACTAATTAATTTTACGACCGAATATCTTTAATAATTAAAAACAAGACTCGTCTTTCATCTAGTAATAAAATTCCGTTATTCTATTTGTAAATGAATTGGTGAGAAATATTTCAAAGTATAAGCTTTTTACCGATTTTCTGATTTACAAAAATATTTTTCTAAAAACGTAATTTCTATAAGTATGTTGTTACAATTTTTATCGCAACAGATCATATGAATAACTCAAGAAAGACTCTTGATACACTACGTCGTTCTTCACAGAGAAGAAACAATCGAAGAATAGACCGTATTCAAAGACAAATGGTTATAGATACATTAGTATCAAATTTATGGTACGCGTTATATTATTTAAAAAGAACTTCCTTACGTACTTATGAATGATATATTTAGCCAAGTAGTTGATCCGCATCATAGAACCAACATTACAAGACCTTCTATACCTTCACTGTTACCGACTAAACATGATGACAATATTCATGATTTATTAGCTGCTACATCGAGATCATTCGATATAACCAATGTACAATCTGATTTTATACTCATTGATAATAATAATAAATCAACAGAAAATGGTAAAGTATATTTAGTATAGAATATTATCATTTTTATATTGTTTGATTTGTAAGAGAAGAAAAAGATAGTTGATTTAGCATCAAATTCAAATTTGAACGAAGATTTAAATGAAGATGTTTCTAATGAAGATTTACAGGAAAATATTCTTGATGAAGATTTAAACGAAGATAAATGTGATGAAGATTTACATGAAAATGTTTTCGATGAAGATCTTAATGAATATGCATATTATGAAGAAACGTCTGAAAATACTGCTGAAGAACTATTTGTCGATGATGAGTATTATACAGACCGCAATTTTACATCAACAGAAATAGCACTTGCTCTCTCATTACTGAAATCACGTCACTCACTTACGAATAGTTGTAAACCCCCCCCCTACAATAAAAGACTCTGGGTCTTCTATTATGTTGAAGTGTAAAAATTCTTTAGAGGGGTCTTCTATTATGAGTGGTCTTCTAATATGAATATATGTTCACAGAGGTTCAGATATCGTTATTATATTTCATTAAGAGATAATTGAATTAGTTCACCATGATTATATTTTCAATACAAAGTAAAAATACAAAGNCACTATAATGATTTCTATTTAAAAAATTTGTAGTCAATCTTACTTGTCCTTATCAGAGCTCGAAACGAACCGAACTTTTCCGGTTCGGATTCGGTTCGGTTCGGGCTAACAAAAAATAGTTAAGCCAAGCTGTATTTTAGTATTTTAACTGTTGATATTCACTTATTTTAACTATCCATCCACAAATGACTCGTTTGGAAGAAATGAGAGCCCTTAATTGAGTATATAAGATGAGTTTTCAGACCTCAGAACTGGCATAGATTCAAACCGAACCGAGATCGTCTGGTTCTGGTTCGATTCGGTTCGTTTTCGAGCTCTGGTCCTTATATGTATATACATACATGTGTAATCTATGCGTACCGCTTAAGAGAAATACACGAGTTAAGGGAAAACACGGACGATGTTATGGAAGCACGAATGGACAAGTAAGATTGACTACAAATTTTTTAAATAGAAATCATTATAGTGAGTGATGAATCACATAGAAACAGCCAAGGTACCTCTGTTTACTAACGAGCACGAAGCTGTGACCAATCTAGGATATTTTGAGCTGGCTGAAGAAAGCAGAAAAAAAATTACTCATGCAATTAACCAATAGATATTCAATTGAATATTTAATTTCGATATGAAAACATTAAGTGCTTACTTGTAAATAATTAATAATTTTAGATAGATTTTATTTAGTTAAAATTCGTTGCTTCAAGTCTAGAAAATGAATTTCGAAGGAATGAGAAAGACATCTGTCATGCTTATATATATCATATTAAACATATTTGTAGATATGAAGCAATATATCTTATATGAGAAATTTTCGAAGTGATGTGCAATTACCTCATTACACCTTCGTTATATCGTTCACTTGATGAATCATAGTATTCATCAGGAATCACTTTTTTTCCTTGCCGATCTATTTTCGTAGTTGATAATGACTTAATAATGAATCTAAATGCTAAATAAGATTGAAATATGATGATTGAAGTACCATTTATTGGGACAGTATGTCTTAATAAAAAAATCAATATAAGATCACAACTAATAACAAATCGATAATTAAAAATCAAATAGTAAAAGGATAAAGCGACGACAAGAATCAATGGCCTACTTTTGTTTAACCCTTTCAGGACCGATTTTTTTTTCTATCGAAAATTGCTTCTTTTCATCAATTTATCGAATTTGACTCAAAATCTTTCCATGAAAAGTTCATAGTATTCAAAAAAACAATTTTTCTTGTCTATTACGCAAAAAGCCAGTTTGCAATTAAGAGCATTCGATCTTTGATCGAACTTGCACTTCTTTTTTGCTATAGTAAGCACATCTCTTCCGTGTTCCTTTGATCGGCAAATGCATTCCACCATCCAACTGATCAGCAGATTTTGGTGATGCTAATTTACGCTTCAAGTCTGAAGGAGATCTTCCAAGATTTATTCGTTCAACACCAGAACACAGAGACTTAGCCACGGAAACCAAATAGTTCAAGTATGATAACTCATTCTGAACTAATTGGTTGTAGCAGATAAATGAGAGTGTGGATGCCGATGTGAGTGTCACTTTTCAGTAAGACTAACAACTAATCCACACCCTTCTTTTCAAGAACACCTATATATATATACAAGAGCAGTAGAGAGTGAGAATCGTATCGAACATTCTCGTAAAACAACATGTCAGAGGAAGAGGGAAATACTATGACATCATTATACAATCACAGAAAGAAAAGCGAATGTCTGAGAGGAATATATACAGCATCAAGAAAAGATATGTATAACATGACAGTTGGAGCACTCCATGACCTTGGTGTATAAGAAGTTTTAACACTGGAATGCAAATGAAACATATTCCCTGTCGGGTAAATAGGTGGTACAATCCTTGTACCACGGTTCTGAAAGAGTTAATATGAAATTAAATATTCGAGCTCCTTAATAAACCTTTCTTAATCATATTTTGATCGAAATTCGATCCTGATTAGCATCTTATTTAAACACGAGAAGCAAATTGTCAGTGTTACTCTCTAACAGTAAATCCCTCATAAAGACTTTCGTTATAACTTAAAACTTTCATATAGTTTAACTAAGTGGTCTGATCATTTCTTTTTGATTCTATGGCAAATGAATATACTCTACTTGATCGTTTATATTTTTACTGAAGACGTTTTGAGAAAGTTCTTATGACATGTTCAGATACGTAGAGTTCATCTCATCAGGTTACCTTTTATCGATCTCGTAAAGTGATATGCTTGTGATAACTCTTGAAGCAGCGGAGATGCGTTCGACATTATGTCATATTCGATTGTTTGATGAATGATATGTTCACGTTTTTAAGTTTTGGTTTTGTTTTCAATTACTTTATCGTTTTGTATTTGCTTTCTATATTTTATGTACTCGCTCTCTTGTGTAGACTTTATATGTTGTATTTTTTCTTCTTTTTTATATCTTCACTAGACAACCATGAGATTCAATATAACTAAAGCAAAGAATAAAAACAAGAAAACAAATAATCCTCTATTTTTTGTTAGTGAGTCATTTATATGATTTTGTTGAATGGTGACTTTAGGAAAAGAAAAGTGACTTTTTATTTGAAACTGTTAATTTATTGGGTAAGATTGAGTAGTTATTTAAGTTTATCAATAGAGATTCGTCAAAATTTAGCTTTCTAAACTTAAATAAAAAGTTCTGTATTAAAAAGCAGATTTTTCGATTAACTGTATGATGCAATAAAACAAAAAGGACTAAAACCCTTTTTGCAAGTCGATTGCAATTTACAATCAAGAAGACATCTGAATAATATACTATAGGCAAATATTTTTATTTTTTATGCTTTTTTAATACATTACTAAATGATTACAGATAGCTATGAATTAAAAAAGCCTATTCAAGTCTTTTTTGTGTAGTAGTAAACATTGCATGTTTATTGAATAATTTATTTGTTGCTTTTCTTATTCTATTTTTTACTGTAGTCAATTTGGGTTTTAGTATATTTTTACTTTATGAGATAGAGATAAAGAGATCTTTATCGTTAATGGAAATGATTAGATATTTCTTTCTTGTGGTATCATGAAAATCAGATTTTATTTGTTTTTAAAAGATCAAAGAAAAGAATAAAGTTTAAAAAAACATAAAAATTTATTATTAAAAAATTACACAACAGATATGAAATTGTAGGACAGAAACGATTGCTCACAATACGAAATTAGAGATCGTGTAGTTGTGCAATTCTTTGATCATTGAATATTGTTTGTTAAAAATAAATTTTCTTGTTTTTTAAAAATTTATTCTTTGCGTTGATCTTATACACAAATAAATAAAATATTGTTTTCATTATATAAAAATAAAGAAATATTTCCGTTTCTTCTGTAACGATGAAGATTCTTCTAGCCGTATTATTTGTTTTAAAAAAGTATAAAGATAGTATGATAGTTGTCGTTTTCATACTCATTATTTTCTCAACTTAATATGTACATCTTTATTTTTATTACTTCGTTTGATACCTAAAGAAAATACAATACAACACTACTAAACAGGATATAGGCTTAGAAGTATTTCACATAAAATACTAGAATACAAAAAAAGCTATATAGAAGTACTGACGAAGCATTCAGTATTACACGACGAGTAATCAATTGTCGTACTCAAATGCATAGATTTTAACACGAGTATCATAAATCCGTGAGTATTTATTGAATGAGTATTTTTACTAGAACAGGAGTCATTCTTGACTCGATTTTAATACAAAAATTTCAAATTCATATGGAATGGAGACAGAAAAATGGCATTTTTCTTCCTCGACTTTTCATGAAAGTTTAATAATCTCATAAACGGTTAGTTCAATTTGGAGATATTCTTCACAACAAGTTCACAATAATTGCCTAATCTATGTGCCATCTAGTTGCATCATGTTTTGCACATCAGATATTCAAATTTTTGATTGAAAATGTCAATAGATTGATTAGAAAAAAGTGGCATTAAATAACTATAACAGTATTTAAACTATGCTAATAATCTTCGACATTATTTATAATCATAGTTTAACAAAAAATATTTAATGATGATTTTCACGCGAAAAAGTAATTAAACGATGACCTTTTCATCGATTTACATGTTCAAGTAGATTGTCATTTCGAATAAGTGCATCCGTTCATTTTTTTTTTCGTTCATTGCATACCATCAGGTATGAACTTTATTGGAATTTTCGTCGTCGTCCTTCTCCTCCTTCCGATCATCATTACCATTATCGAACAATAACTGGTTGATACAACTTCATATATCAATTCCAAATTACTCATTTTTTTCGTCAAGTATTCATTTACCTTCCTTCAAAATGTTGAGAATGGGAGAATAATCAATCTCTCTTTTCCTTTCAATAGAAAAGCACATGATAGTATACAACTTAAGCGAAAAGAATAGAGAAATATGCTGGTATATACAATACACACACACACACAAACATAATAATGATGATGATTAGCACCTGAATGTATACAAGTTTCATGCTGTTCAAATATATATGAATTAAAGCGAAACGGTGGGAAAATAGCGATCTATTGTATAAATCAAGCGAAATGGTTATTATTCTTTCTTTGTAGTAAAGTGTCATAAACATTATCACTATGAACTCATTGAATAGGATATTTGTTCCGCTCTCATACAAATTCTTTATTCGATAAAGAAAAAGAAAATTTATTGAATTCAATCGGTAATCATTTTCTTTTTCTTTCTTTTTTTTTCGTTTGATGATTACATATCAACAGATTGTTTCATTTTTATTATCATAAGAAAAGAAATCTAAAATAAGATACGACTCACATAAGGTGACAATCATCACCTTCATCTACATGAACAATCAGATATAGTTTTCTT